TAACTTGGGGTCACTGGCTTCCCCCTCTTCGTGCCTCGAGATCTACCCCATAGGGTTACTGTATAGTGGGATGACACGTGGCCAGTGATTAGAACAGTGCCTGGCACATAGTGAGAATGAAGAAGAGCAGCAAAGATGAAGAATTATCTGGAATCTGCTCTTCTCCAGAAGCTTCGTGATTTAGATGGTGATGTACTGACAGCAGTCCGGGTGGTGGTCTGCTGACCATGTCCGTGGAGCACCACGGTAGGCGAGCACTTTACACAGTGTCTCACTTATTCTTCAACAACCCCACAAGTCGCCACTGTCTTCCCGTTTTACCCAGGAGGACACTGCAATGAGGGATGTACAGGCACCAAAGACTGTGGAGTTGGTGTTGTTAAAACCCATTTAAGAAGAGTGTATGACAGTGAGCACTTGCCAGAGCCAGGCCTGTTGGAGATGTTTCCCATATGTTAAGTCATTTAGTCCTCAGTGAACCCCGGGGTGGGTAGCATCGTCCCCCTTCACAGATGGAGGACCCTGAGGCACGAAGCATCTGCAGCTTGCCCAGACACACACACACACAGAGATGCGCGTGTGCACACACACACGGGCAGAGCTGGGATTTGAAGCCAGGAACCTGGCTGCAGGGCACTTCCACTAAGAGGAAGCTTGTTATTCCTTAAATTTGAAGCTCTCGTTTGAATAACAGCCACCACCACAAAAATCCAAGTTCTTTTTTTCTAATGTCTGTCATAAAAATACTTACATTTGCAAATAATTCCACAAAGATTTCTGCAAAAATAACTCTGCCTTTGTATTTGCGCAAGTGAGGAGTTCTCGTGACAGTGATAAAGCAATCACAGTGTGTGCTGTCGTATTTCTTGGCAGTACTGCAAGTTACAATGAATCTGTCTTCGCTTTGAGTTATTATTATTATTGCCACTTTTCATGGCTGCATTAATCACCACACATACTGGGAGGAATTGATGAAGTTAATTGTTTTTATAAACTAAATTAAGTGAAGTGCTAATGCGGGGTGCCCGAGCCTTGACTCAGCTTAGGAGTGGACGGGGCCACTCCGGGCGAGCTTCTGAAGACAGGATCGTTTCCAGTGTCACCTTGACATTCATCGCCAGTTTTCTTTGTAGTTAGCTGCGCAGTCCTTTTTACTTTTAGTCAGTTTGTGGATCACATGGTGAGTTGTGGTTTAAAAGTTCTATGTCTGCCTAGTTGAAATGATTCAGAGACCAGCTTTAGATGGGTTTGTGAATTAGTTTGCCGAGGCTGCTGTAACAAATACCGCAGACTGGGCGGCTTAAACAACAGAAATTTACTTCCTCGCAGTTCTGGAGGCTGGAAGTCCAAGATCAAGGTGCCACCAGGTCTGGTTTCTCCCGAGGCCGCTCTCCTTGGCTTGAGGATGGCTGCTTTCACACTGTGTCTTCATGTGGTCTTCCTTCTGTGTGCAGGCATCCCTGGGTCTCTCCCTCTTCTTATAAGGACGCCAGTTCTGCTGGGTTAGGCCCACCCGAACAGCCTCATTGTACCTTAATCACATCTTTCAAGGCCCCTTCTCCAAATACACCCACATTCTGAGGTTATGTGGGGTTAGAGCTTCAATATAGGAAGTGGGGAGGACCACACTTCAGCCCATAACAACACCTTTAGTCAATTTCTAATGGGCGTGGTATAGGCGTAGGATAGATGGGGGAGGAAAATGAACTTTAAAAAAGCATTTAGTGGGACAATTCTTCCTTCCTCCTCCTTTGGCTGAAAACATACATAACTCTCCAGTCATGCATTTTAAGAGAGAGTGGAAAATTATCTTAACACACCACAGAATTTTATTCAGTCTCCATTTCTTAAGGTTTGGCAGACTAGATAACCTGGGAAATCTTGAAAAGCTGCCTGCAAATATTTTTGGTTTTTTAAAATTTACACTGTTTGGCAATTCCTGGTCTGGGAAATCTGATGTAAAAAGGATTTCCAGGCAGCTGTGCTCCTGGTCTGAGAGAAGCACACACAGCATCTGTCCAAAGGGACGTTGCCTGCACCCCAGGCCCCAGAGGGTCCCCCCAGAGAAAGCCCCACTGAAGACAAGCTCCTAATCCACAATCACCGTGAACAAGAGCGAGACCCAGCAGACAAAACCAACAGTGGGATCCGACTCCCAGGGACCTCAGATAATATTTGGATATGTAACTATAAGACAAGGATGCCTAAAATGATTAAATATATAAAAGAATTAAAAACGAGAAATAAATAAGACTCCATTGAATAAAGAACAGATGAATTTGGGCAGGGGGGGAAGCTCTAGAAATGAAAAATAAAATGATTGAAATAAAAAATCAGTAGATGGGATAAAAAGCAGATTTTTGAGAGAACTACTGAACAAGATTACATTTTCTTCTTTCCAAAGTAGAATGTCCCCTCCCCATTGAAAAGTGGTGGTGGCGGCAGCAGGGAGATTCCAGTTCCAGTCACATGGTTAAGCATGGTCCCTTATTTTACCCGCCCTCTGCTCTGCCTTCAGTGCACCACTGCTGGGTGCTGGTGGCCGGGAAGCCAGCATCATCAGCTTCCTGAAGTGGGGGGCTGGCAGACTTTCCCAGGGAAATGAAAACTAATCAACTCAAAGTGTATAAGCCTAAGGGTGTTTTCACATTCTCCTTCCTGACCGTCAGCATCATAGAGAAATTTGTCCTGGACTTTGGTAATTCAGCAGGGTCCAGCCAAATTTGAAATGCTGGAGGACATGGCCTGACAAGTTGACTGTGTGGTGTGTTTGGAGCTGTGCTGTGGCAGAACACCGGCAGGAGCTGTCCTGAGGAGGGCGGGGGAGGCCCAGGAGCCCCGCACACGAACCTGGGGGCCTGCGAAGGCCGTTAGCAGGGCTCCGCTTTCTGTCAGGTGCTCACCTGTGCCAGCAAGCTACCAAAGGCCTCTGTCCTAGCTCCTTCGGGCTGCCGTAACAGAATGGCAGACTGGTGGCTTGCAGACAATAGAAAGTTACTTCTGACAGTTCTGGAGGCTGGAAGTCTGAGATCAAGGCACCAGCAGATCTGGTGTCTGGTGGGACTTGCTTCCTGGTGTATAGACAGACGGTCCTCACATCGTGGAAGGGACAAGGGAACTCTCTGGGGTCTCTATCAGGGCACTAATCCCATTCCTGAGGGCTCCACCCTTGTGACCTCATCACTGCCCAAGGCCCCACCTGATGTCATCACATTGGGGGTTAGGTTGCAACAGCCCCTCTTCTCATTAAAACTTGTCCATCTCAGGATGCGGCTCTTGTCCCCTTTCTGCAGATGCGGCAGCGAGGCTTTGAGGGACCAACTAGTCTGAGACCGTATAGCTGAGGACACAGAGGAGCTTGCTGACCCCAAATCACATGCTGCTGACCGCCATGTGAGGCTGGCTTTTTGGATATAAGGCCAGCATTTCCAGAGTGTTCTGTGGAACACTGCAGTTCTAAAGGATGATAACTCAAATAACTACAAAAAAAAAAAAAGGTTCTGTGCTCACATACATTTGGGAAAGAAGGCATGCTCTGTGCCCCTTATAAAGCTTACAATGCTCACCAAAGGCCAAGAAAATCTGTCTTGAGGAAAACCATTTATTTGTTTGACCTCACATTTCCTCCACTTAATAGACCCTAGAATCCTCATTTTTTGTTTTTTGGGTTTTTTTCTTTCAAAACAATATTGACATATTAGCCATTAAGGAAATGCAAATCAAACTACAATAGGATACCACTTCACACCAACTATGATGGTTATAATCAAAAAGATGGACAGGAACGAGCGTTGGCGAGCATGTACGAGAATCGGACCCTCAGACTGGTTGGAATGTAAAATGGAGCCACGGCTTTGGAAAACCGTTTGGCAGTTCCTCAAAGGGTTAGATACAGAGTTATCATGTGACCCAGCCACTCCACTCCTAGTATATACCCAAGGAATTGAAGGTATATATCCATGTATCCACACAAAAACTTGTACACAGGTTGTTCATAGCTGCATTATTCATAATAGCCAAAAATTAGACCCAACCCAAATGCCCATCAACACATGAATGGATAAGTAAAATGTGGTATATCCATGCAATGGAATATTAGTCAGCCATAAAAAGGAATGAAGTACTGACACATGCTACAACATGGATGAACTATGAAGACATTACGCTAAGTGAAGAAGCCAGCCACCAAAGGCCATATATTTTATGACTATTGCTGTCAAATGTCCAGAATAGGCAAATCCAGAGGACTGGTTGCCAGGAGCTGGGGGAAAGGGGGAATTGGGGTGTGGCCATTAACAGGTTTGGGGTTTCTGTTTAGGGTAATGAAAATGTTCTCAAATTGTTTGTGGTGATGTTTGTACAACTCTGAATACACTCAAAACCATTGAATTGTACACTCTGCATGGGTGAATTGTATTGTAAGCGAATTATATGTCAATAAGACTGTTGTAAAAAACGGAATTACCATCTGCTAACAACTAGGATTTCACAACACAGTTTGGGAAAGGCTGCCACAGAAGTCTTGGCTGCCCCTAGAGTGGGCTCTGTGCCTGTGGCACAGCAGCTGTCCCATGTCACCTGTGGCTGTAACACCCCGTCAGAAGCATTGTTGGCATTTGAGAAAGTATCACAGGGCAGGGATTAAGTGGGCCCCTGTTGTGTCGAAAAGATGTGCAGAACCTAAAGCAAGCAGCCACTTTCTCTGCATGGTTACACTGCTGCTCTTAGGGAATGCTTGAAAGGACACCAAAAACACAGACTGACTAACGAAAGCCTTGGAAAGCTGCTGAGTGGATCTGGAGTAAAAGATGGTGTTAAGTGCTCTGTCGTATTGAATCTCCCCCAGCAGCACTCACCTTCTGTAGTTAATAATTGTCACTGCCGAGTTATCTGGACTAACTTGTGGCCATGGGGCAACAGAAAACTTTCCAGCTCATTCCCCTGGTCCTCTGGTGGTTCCATTCCCACATCCATCATACCCTCCTTTGTTTGCATTTTAGTGAAAGCCGGTGGAATGCGAATTGTGCAGAAGCACCCACATTCTGGAGACACCAAAGAAGAGAAAGACAAGGATGACCAAGAATGGGAAAGCCCCAGGTGAGAGACCTCTGGTGAATCTCGGGCATGTTTTACATGTCACCATTATTCAGTTAAACATTAACGTTTGTTCTGTGCTCTCTGCTTCTGATACCTCCTGGGCAGGGTGGGCCCTGTGCTGTGTATTTTTCCTTTCCTAATCAGTGGGGCGGGGGTTCTGCTCCCAGACAAGGGAGAAATAGGGCATCTCGAGCTCATCCCCTCTCCTGACTACATCTGAGCACGTGCTGTCAATCTGCAGGCAGCAGCTGTCAACTTCCACTGCAATACTGAAATCTCCTTGAGACCTTGGAAAATGCCAGCCCAGCTGACTCTCTGGATGGGCCTGGCATTCTGTGCAGCCAGGATAGAGAACTGCCGATTTAAAAAGTGTCCCCAAGTATCTTGGCTCCTCTCGTTCTTCAGCCAAACCTAGAATCAGCAAGGCCACACCCTCATGAGTGTTCCAGTGTCCTTAAATGACATCTCTGCCCCCGGCCCCCTGGGTCCCTGACAGCTCATCTCTCTGTAGTTCCCCCATCTCTGTTTGTTACCTGTTTTCCTCCGAGGTTCTGATGTCAAGTTTAGTGCGAGGACCTCGATGCAAATCCATTTCCTACCACCTTGTAATACCCAAACGTGCACCCCCAATGCATGCAGCTCTCTCCGAGCTTGTCCGCGTGGAAGGAAGGGAACTCTAAGTTTTCTACCTTCCAGCTTGTCCCCAGAGGCTGTTTCAGCCAGAGGCAGGAGGAAAGTGTGGGAAGCAGCTAACCTGTGTTTCTGTGGACCAGACGCATGATTTTGTTTCAGTCTAATAGTCCTGAGTAGTAGGTACTGTTCTCACTTCATGCATGGGAACCCGAAATTCCCTGATTCATGCCTGGGAACCCGGAGTCCACAGAGGCCATACATTTACCCACATCATGCACCATCCAGTTAATGGAGCAGAAATTTAAACCCAGGTCTGATGGGGTCCAGAGCAGGCCAGCCTTCCAAAAGAGTAGCTCCCAAGAGCGTGCACCCCTGAGAAGGACATGCATGTTCCTGGTAACCCCGTGGGTCTGCTCATGTATGTGCTGCACCCTGTACTTCGTATGGGATGTTACAGTGCAGTCACTTGAGGGGTAGACAAAATTTAGGGCGAGGTTGCTGAGTGATTATTGCCCATTTTAAAATCACCCTAAGTTCTGGCTTTAAAAGAAGGCAATTTAAAGAAAATTCTAGAATTATCTTTCTCACTGGCTGTTTTCACAAAGCTGTGTTTGGAACATAACAGCATCAGTAACTCTACGAGAGGCCCACAGTCCTGTATCTGAAAACCTTGGGGCCTGAGTTGTTTCCGAATTGAGAAATTTGGGGGTTTTAGGAGAGTGATACAAATTTTAGGAGAATAGAACAGTACGCATTCCATACAGCACCCGTAGTGGAGTCTCAGGCAGCATGTTGTCATCTGTGTATGACCTTCACAGCAAGGGAGGTAAATTTTTAAAATTTACAGACTTGGGTCAGTTCAGGTTAAGTTTCGCCTCCACGCAAGCTATAAGGAAAATTTCATTTTCCGAAAATTCTTGAATTCAGAATTGAAGGTGAGAGCATTTATGCCCAGAGAAATTTCCTCCAGTAGGAATCCTGTGCTATCCTTTCTTTGTATCCAGTTGTTTCCTTCAGAAGGAAGAAAGAGGGTGAGAGAGAAAGACTTGCCTGGAAAAAAAATCCTGCGAAGTTAATGAAACATGCTTTCTTCCGTGGGTTTAAGTGGAATGAGGTACAAATAGCTGTTTCCCTGTGTGACGCAGCATCAACACAGTGAGAGGTGATCATTTATTAGCATGTTTAGAAATAAGGACAGAACAACCCATTTGTTTTCTTCCTATTGATTTTTTTCATGGGGTGGAATACAGCATTTATCGAAGATGCACAATTTAAATAAATATGCCAGAGGATGAACAAGTGCAAGAGAAAGGAGCGGGCACCCCAGCCCTCTAGATTTTAGCATCTTGCTCACCTTAAAGGTTTGTTCTCCATGGACCAAGTGTTTTGAAGCAGGTTGACTGCAGGGTAGGGTTTGAATAATGCATGAGCAAGGGTTTTTCTGTTCCCTGCAGCCAGATTGCTATAATGTGTTCCTTATGGGTGTGTTAGCTCTTGTCCTCTTGACTTGGGCTCTGCTCTTGACCACTGTGGGCCACGCCACTTGACACACCATTGACGGATCAGGTTAGCCTCTGTCAACTCTTAAGCTATTGACATATGTTGCCAATACAACTCCTTCCAAACCCTTGCACCAGGCCTGGGACTCTGTGTAATAGTTTGCTTCCACCACCATGCACTCCCTGTTTGTCTGGTGGGCTGATTGAATACTCATAGTTAATCATTATTGCTAATATTCTAGAGAGCAGTGAGCTTGGCCCTGTTCTAAGTGTTCTGGCCATGTTCATTCATTTGATCCTTGCAATGACTCTATTTTATTGTCATCCCTATTTCAGAATTGTTATTGATTATTATTCCCAGCCAGATTACTACTCCTACTTCAACAGCTCAGAGAAGTTAAATTACTTTTCCAAGGTCACACAGCAAATAAGTGGCAGAGCCAGCATTCTAGCAGTGTGGCTGGGTCCACAATCCTCACTCTTAGCCACAAGAGTGTGCTTACCAGCTGACTTCCTGTTTGGTGCTGGGCACTTACTGAGTGTCACATCAGGTTTAAAGTTCACACCACCTAAAAGTTGGTATTACTATGCCCATCGTAGAGATGGAGAGACCAAGGCTTAGGGAGGTTATCTGGCCCAATGATACATAGCCAGTCAGCGGCCATGCCAGGATTCAGCCCTGAGTTTGTCTTGACTTGGAAGCCCACGCTCCTAGTATGCTACAGAAGCCCCCTGAATTGACAGAATATTTTCAGGGTTGATATAGACTGGAACTCCAGATCCCTCTATAAAATAAACTTCTTGATTCTGGGGTTGCCCGTAACCTTTCTCATATTCCTGAAGCCCATAATCCCGCCCCTGCAGCCTGGCCATCAGTGAACGGCCTCATCACAGTTTACAACAAGGTTTCCAGGACCAGGCTGGCTTTCCTTTACATGTGGAAAGGCCTGTTTATTTGCAGAATTTGTCAAACGTTTCATGTTTTACATTATCTTCCCTTGGAAATGTCATGCCATGTGATTTCAACATCCATATTACCCTAATCCTGAAGTTTTACACTTTTTCTTGTTTCAATCCCAATGTTCTACAGATCAGAAAATAAGTGTCTAGACTCAGATGCCAATTTCCTCCTTAGATTTATATCTGCAAAACTCTTTACTTTCCTTCCCAGATATTTAAAAATGGCCTTATGTTTACTGGCTCATCTCTGGGGGCTTCCTTCCCCACTAATCAGAAAATCAAATATTGATTCAGAGAATAAATAACTGGAGCATTAAAGAGGTTATTATGTGACCAAAAAAAACCCCAAAAACAGAAAACTCTTTTACTCGTAATTATTTTTTTGCAAAGATTTATGCTACTCTTACTCCTTTAATTTTATGATCTTTCAGAGATTTAAAAATAATAATTTCTTATGCTTCCAAGTAGTTTTGAGATGCTACATTAAAAAGAGAGAGAGAGAGGATGTAGCGGAAATTTGAAAATGTTGCCCACGAATTCCAATCAGTCTGAGTTCTAGTTACTGTGGCTCTTCATATCCAGGAAGAGTGAAAGGCTTCATTATTATTAGCTAACACTTTCCTTTGTGGATGCTAGATTCCATCTCAGAACTGACCCAATTAAGAAAGCTGTGATATTCCTCCCAGCCTTTTGTTGAGGCTGTTGAAATGAAGCGCCCAGTTTCATTACGTGAAGGAGAAAATTGCAGACACAGAATGGGCTTCAGGAGTCAGTAGGATTCACTGAAGAAAATAGTTTAATGTCGAACATGTACTGAGGTCCCACCACGAATCAGGTTTGGTGCAAGATACTCAAAAGGATAGGTGACAAGAAGAGTCAACTAGAAAGGAAAGGGTTTGGGTGTGGACTGGGCGTGGTGGGAAGGGGGTGGAAGGAAGAGGAAATGTGAGTGGGGTGACAAGGACGCGGAGGGAGCAGCCCTTCTCCGAGCTCAGCTCTTGGTACAGCTCTGACTTAGGACTGTGGTTCTGTTTCATGCTTCATGTACCTGAAACGTAAGCAGATGATTGAAATAATCCAGCATGTGGGAGAGACCCAACATGGAATACAGACAGTAACAGGTGAACCTAATGGTCATACAAATGATTACTATAACTGACTGAATAGTGTGGGTAAGAAAAGACCCCACCTAAGTAACTTTGGGAAATAGTCTTTTGACTGGATACTATAAGGCTAGAGACAAAAAAACCAAAAAACTGCACAAGTCTCTATCCAGTTAGTTAATGTGCTTTTACCGGGGAATGGGTTAGCAGTTCTGAAAGTGCCTAATGTGTATATAGGATTGAACAAAGAAGTAAATATGCCGTGGATAGTGATAGCCAAGTTTCTCACTGTCAGAGAAAGAGGTTACAAATAGGAAAAAGGGAAGAGTAAAATGAACTTTGTGGTGTTGAACTGAAATTGGAGGTATTAGTATGAACTCATAGTTTTAAATGGATGGATAGATGGGTGGATGGATGGATAGTAGATACACACAGACATGTACATACATGCAGAAATATACATAGATGGGGAGGGTTAGTGCACATACCTGTATTTCCTAGCTGCGTTCACTGAAAGGGCCTAAAAGAACTGACACCCATGTAGCCACAAGCATCTTTAGGACCCAGATCTTGGTTTCTAAGCACCATTGCCCAATCAAGGGAACCAGGTTAATGGTTAACCAGGAGAAGTGCTTAATTTCAGGGCAGGAAGAATGCTAGATGAGCCTGGAACAACTCGCAGTGCCAGAGCATAAGGAGTACACTATAAAGGATGGCGGTTTGTCAGAACCACACGGGAGCTGGCCTAAAGGAGCTCCTAATGGCCAAGGCTGGAATAATTTGCAACAAAGTAAATAATGACAGT